TAAGAACTCATGCATCACTGGAGACAGAAAGGAGAATGTGGCATCAGGGTGAGTGACATCACCATTGATGCCCAAAAAAGCTGAAAGCATGGGGTTGTGCAGAAAAGAACGCAGGCCGCAGGATGTGACGTCGCTGCAGGAGCAAACCGGATTGGTAAGTTTTCCCAAACTGGACACAAGCGCTCTGGTTTGTTCTGCATGCATCTTCGGTTTCTGCAGGAGCATGTGTGTGATAATGCTGAGCAGGTGAGTAAGAGTCTCAGGTGGGGTGTTTTTATTCGCGAAATGAGTTTTAAACACATTGCAAAGCGTCCAGCAGAAGGCCGGACGAAAACACTGCTCGTACACTCCCAACACCTGCTCACATTGGCGAAAAAGTCTCTCTGCTTGGCCTCTGTCGTCAAACAACTGCTGGAAGAACGTTCTCCTCTGGGTCTGGGAGAACCCGACCACCTCAAAACATCTCAAAGACTCGACTGGCTCTCGGGAGGTGATCAGCATTGAAGCCTCAGCAAGCAGAGATCCGTGAAGTAGACTGCACAGCAAGACCGAGCCGGACGCTTCTTGTTGTACATCACATATAAGACTAGATGAGGACAATGGAGTGCATAGAAGGTTCTGCAATCGCTCCAATCCATCAAGCACAAGAAGCAGAGATTGAGGCCTCTGTAGAGCGCCGGCGAGAGTCTCTGTGGAAATGTGAGTGTGTATGCAGCCCAACATGTTCTGCAAACTCTCTGCTTTCTCTCCAAGAGCGGCCAGCTCCCAAACCGGCACTCGCATGAGGAGGGCGTAATGTTGCAGGCGCGCACCTGTCGTCCAATCCCAAATGACCTTTTCTACCGCTGTAGTCTTACCCATTCCAACACCACCATAAAGAACCAGCCTACGGCCTTCAGATCCAGGAGAAAACTCTCGAGATATGACATCCTCTAAAGCTTCCCGATCTCCTCTCTTAACCCTTGTGTGGTCGTCCTCATACGCACACACTGAGAGGGCCGTGTAGTGGCCTTTCTGGATCACCTCTCGCACAGGCTGACCTCCCAAAAGAGAATTGGGCAGAGTTGAGTTCAGCACAGAGTTTCTCAAAGTCTCCTTATGTGTTTGCTGCTGATCTGTGGAAAAAGAAATGATAAGAATAAATGAAGAAGTACTTCATTACATCACGTCCATCTATCCATCTATCTATCTATCCATTCAGAAATTATTTTGAGAGAACGCAGATATTCGGCTTTCATCAAACTTTCCCACGGAGTCTTCTATTGGTTTACGCTGGATCGAGTCCGACAGCCCTGCTAAAAATGTGTAGTACAAATCTGAGCGCTGGTCTGAGATCTCCTGCACGGATTGGTCGAGATAAAAGGAGGCGGC